GTTTGTTCTCTTTGTTATTTTAATCAGCAGAAAATGGCCAATTTCTGTTCTTATACTACTCAAAAGTGTTGGTTTTATGTTTGTGATTAGGAGTGAGAAATGTGATCTCTACTTCCCTGGAATATTTTGAGTTAAGTTTTCTACAAGCCCTCATGGAGATTTTACATCTGTTTAACTATGACTAATTTTCCTACTAGCACTGAGTAGTAATCCTGCCAAAAGCTATCTTGATGTGAAGAAAGGCATAAAACATAACCCAACTAAGTGTAATCCGACAACAATTTCAGTCAAAAAACTATAATTCAAAAATAGCAGGCTAAATATTTGCCAAAAGGAAACATTTCAAATGCATTTGGATACAATAATGGTGCAGACCTGACTGGGTACCAAAGACAAGATTAACAGCTCCTGTCAGCCAGCCTGGCTTTGCCTGGGCGAGGGGACCAAAGGTTTCAACTTTTTGCTCCATCCTCTGGAGATTTACATTATTTGAGCTGCCAAAACGATGCACAGACTATTTTAATTTTTTGCTGTAATTTACAAAACAGTTTACAGCATATGCTTCTGTTAAGATGATCAGGATTAAATGAAACAGACACGATAAAAAGTTGAGAACTAACCACAAATCTGAGACCATACACAAATACCCGAGATCTGACAAAATGCTGTGTACCGCGGGGAGCAAATCCCTGAGCTCTGTGACGAGAGCCGATGGCAGCAGGGGCAGCGTGTTGTTTGCAGCCACTAACACCCAGCCACGGCCGGGTTTCTGCTGGTTTGGCTGCCTCACACCTCAGGTGGCTGCTCAGAGTTGGCACCCAGCTCCACCATCACATTCCCAGTAACTGGGAACATGTAAATTACTCACCAGGACGAAATGTCACGATAAGTTCTGCTGCATCTTTATGACAGGCCCATTAGTACTGGCTTATGTCGTGAATGTGGCATTCAGTGTGGTATCACTGGTATTGGGTTTAGGTTGGATGTTAGGAAGAACTTCTTTATGGAAAGGGTTGTTAGGCATCGGAATGGGCTGCCCAGGGAAGCGGTGGAGTCACCATCCCTGGAGGTCTTTAAAAGATGTTTAGATGTAGAGCTTAGGGATATGCTTTAGTGGAGGACTTGTTAGTGTTAGATCAGAGGTTGGACTGGGTGATCTTGGAGGTCTCTTCCAACCTAGAAATTCTGTGGTTCTGTATCACAGCCTGGAGGGGCCTGCACCCACCCCGCTCCGTGCCCACACAGCCGTGCCCCACAGCACCACAGGGAGCCCGGGGGGCTCCTGAGGGACAGCACCGAGCATGGGCACAGGCAGCAGGCTTGGTTTTAAAAAATAACAATAACGAAACCAACAACAACCAAACAAACAGCCAGCCTTACATTTCACTCCTTCCCCCCTTGAATTAAAGGGCAAAGCACAGTGCTCACTCAGGGAAGCCTGGGCCTGGCAGCAGGGCCGCCCCAGGCCCTGTGGATCCCATGTCCAGCCACCTGCATCATGGCCCTGGGGAACCTCCAAGCCCTGCTGGGCCCAACCCAGCCCTCTCCTGTCACAGCAGGGGGCCGAGCTCCAGCAAGGGCAGAAAATGTGCCACTGGTGTGCCATGCCACACCAGAAAGCATCTCCTGCTGACCAGAGGGGAGAAGGGGACCTGCCGGCTGCCCCCTCGAAGCCGCGTGAGGGAAGGGAGCAAGGAGACCAGAAAGAAAGGCAGTGACTGAAATACAAGCATAGGCACCCAATTCACACAAGTAAAATGCAAACCCCTGGACATTTTGACCTAAAAGAGAACATTAATATGCAATTCATAAATTTTAAGTATCAGAGATGGATGAGTGCATCAGAGCCTGACCCGAATACAGAAATCTTACGTTCCACCCACTTACTCCAGCACTGAGACGAGGGCTTTAGGTTTGCCTAAAGCAGAACTCCAGCAGGTCTGGATCTAGGGCACCAAAGAGAAAAGGTCACTGCTGCTTCCCTTGGCTGTTACGTTACTACCTTGGCCATAATGTGCTAAAATGGCAATGCCACAGTGCTGAGCCACAGGCAAAAGCAAACACTTCTGTACTAACACTGTGCAGTGATCACTGTAAGACTGATATGCTGTACGAATAAACAAGAAGTGTATGTGTATATAAATATATATATATGCATAATTATAATTAAATTACTTGGAAGTTCTTACTTCTTTTGCTGGATTAACAGCCTTCTTAACAACCATTAACAACCTTCTACCAGCCTGAAACCAAGCAGAGATTTATCTCAAGTAGTAACAAATGTGTGTACTCACAGAACGGCACATAAAAATTAAATTAAAAATAAACTCATAAACACATAAAATTTAACAAACTATGACTCTTCACAAAAACCCTTCTAGATCAGGAATAATTCAATACATCATCACATGGGCTGTGGGGCAATGGATCACTAACACCAGCTGCATCACCATGAAGCCTCCAGCAGCACTCATACACTGCTCTATGAGGCTCTTCCTTCCCCATGCAGTGCAAGAAAGCATTTTGGGTCATTAAATACGTTAACATTTAAAGGACGAGTTAAAGCTAGTGAAAGGCACAAATTTTTGCCATTGCTTGTAAAAAATGTTCAGCATTTTAATGCTGTTCATCACCAAACAAACTTGGGAAAGTAAAATTCACTTGCTGAAAGTTAATTGAAAGTCATTAACACAATAACAACCCTTCATCATGAAACTAGTCTTAGTGATAGGACTCAGACCTGGACCACATTAATGAAAACAGAGGGTAGCTGTGTGAAACGCCTACTGGGAGAGGATTTTTAAGCTTCCTCATGTCCAAAGTGACTGCTTGGCAATACTGAAATCCAGAGAAGCAGCCACAGCACAGCTTCCTAGGGCGAATATCAGCCCACTGCATTACTCAGGAAGGCCAAGTCCTGCACCTCGGACAAGACAACCCTGTGCTAACGTACAGGGTGAGAATCTGCTGGCTAGGAAACAGATTTGCACAGGAGGACGTGGGGGTCCTGAGGAGCACAAACTCACCAGCTACAGCAGCAAGGCTGACCACGTGCTGGGCTTTGCCAGCTGGAGCAGAGCCAGGAGGTGAAGGGAAGGGATTCTTCCTCTCTGGCCCTGTGAGACAGGGCCTGGAGCACCGTGTCCTCCTCTAAGCTCCTCAGGACATGGAAGAGCGAGTGCAGCAGAGGCCACCGAGATGGTCAAGGTCTGAAGCGAGCAGTGTACGAGGAGAGGCTGATGGAGCTGGTTTGTTTGGTGAGCAGCAGGTTCAGGAGGGCCTCGTGGCTGCTGTGACCACCCACCCAGTGGGTACGAAGAGGAGCACACGCAGAGGATAACACGCAGTGGAGGTACAAGGGATGTTCTGTTTAGATATTAGGATACATCTGCTCAGAGTGGTGGTGGTCAGGCATTGGCATTTGTGTCCATGGAACCTCCATGCTTGAAGATAACCTACCTGAGGTGACCCTGAGCAACGTAATCGAACCTCAGAGGTGGACTGAACTTCTAAGCTGGAGCAGAAGACCTCCAGCAAGCTCTCCCTAGTAAATTATTCCAGAATTTTAGAATATCAGCTTGGCAGAGCAGATATCTCAGGCAATTTATACAATGTAAATACCAGCCTACCATGGAAACAAACAGAAAAGATTTCAAAATACAGAAAAACTTTGCTCTGTCATGGAGAATAAGGACAGCCACAATCAAGACATGCAGAGCATCCAAACCTCCCTACCCTGAATGCTTTAATTGGAAGTCTGGCCAAAAGGTGTCAGGCCAAAAAAATAAAATCCCATTTACAGGCCCATCAGGCTGAGACAGATGCCAGCCCCACAGATTAAAGGCTGTTACCAAGTCTGGTGAAGAGCTGCTATGTGTTAATCCAGATAAACACTTAGCCTGGGCAAAGCAGCAAAATGACTGAGAATCAAACATTAGAAAATTGTCCCATCCTCCAAGAACAGCTCAAGAAAGGCATGTAAATCCAGTAAGAATCATCCTCCCAGCGTGGGATAAAGATCTCTCACACATCAGTTCCTCAGTAGTCTGGAGCCCAATCTGCTATCACACAGGGAATGAATTTCAGTCTAAGGCAATTAAGGAAATGAGCATGGGGTATCCACCAAATAAAACCACCACTGTGGAGATACCTAAAAACATTTATGTTCTGAATAAACAGCGATCACAAGCACTGTAGGAAATACAGAAACATGCCTCCTTCACTGGGAATTGAAGGAAAATTCAGTGTGCCAGGTGTTGTATTCAAAGAATATGAAAGTCTGGGAAAATCTCTGCCTTAAACATGTTCAACTGCATAACCTTTTTTACAATGCAATGTCATCTGCCTTCTGTTAAAATCTTTACATTTTTTAAATGCATATTTATGTAATTTTGGTTAAAAATGCCTATCCCATTCCTCAGCAGTGACAGAATGAGCATGAAAATCAAAAATAAGCGATCACTATTCCCAAAAAATAAATTCCTACCAAATGCTTATGCATCTTAGGATAACACAGCAACTTTCAAAAACCACAAAAAGATAAAAATGACAGGTTGCCAACATTTCACAACTGTGTGCAAGCACCTAACCAATGACGGTAATTAAGACATGCTCGTCAGAGTTTCACATCACCTTCTGCAACTTCAACTGCCTCCAAATCAGCTCGGCACCTGCGTGCGTACAGAAAGCACACACAAAAACTTTCAACGTTGTGCTTTGTGGGAGACGGGCTGGCCGGCACTATTAATTATGCATGCCAATAAAAACCACGGCCATAAAGGATGGGAACTTCAATATCCACGGGAATGGCTTCCAGTACAGAAGTTCAGAGAAACAGATGCTTGTAAATCTTTAAACGCCCCCCAGACTCACCTGGGCACGTGTGCAGGGCCCCATGGACACAGGGGTGCGAGGAGAAACCTCGGAGCTCCCAGTGCAGAAAGCAAGTTTCTCTTGGCTGCTTTTGGCTGTGACCTGTACCAGTGGAGGAGGCACTCACACAGAGAGGTCGTGTGCTCTCCTTTCCTACCACTCCCAACTCAGATAAGAGCAATTCTCTCCATCGTCTCCTTTATCTTTTCCTCCCCCTTAAGCCTGGAAGGACACCGGGCTGCTCTCCCTCCTGTTCCCGGCAGCCAAAGGGAGGCACCAGGCAGTGATGCAAGGAATGCAGGCTCCCTGCTGCCTGGGATGGAGCTGAAAAGCCCGAGCCCGAGCCCTCCCACCCTGCTGCTGGCCCCATCCCCACCAGGATCCCATGGGAGCCCCCCAGCCGCTCCGGCACAGCACGGACCCACCTGTGCCTCCTGCGGCTGGCGTGGAGCAGCGTCACCGCGACCTCACCGGGACTCTGGCATTACAGGCACGCTTTTGGCTTCCTTTTCTATGGAAAAACGTCCTGAACTCGGAAAAGGCGCTGATGGATTATCCTATAGCAGCGGCAGTTCCCACGGCAGCAGCGGACGCAGGCGCGGGCTGGCAGCGGGGACGCGAGGCGCGCAGAGGCGGCTGCTGGAAATCAGAGCAAGCCCCAGCGGCTTCGCTCAGCGCTGCAGGCTTCGGCAGCTCCTCCGGGTAACTTCAGCATTCGGATGCTACAACAATGAATGGCTCAAGCTACTCGGCTCCTACCCCGCACCTCCTGCTCCTTCATCGCATTTCATCCCCGCTCCGCTGCCCGTCCGAGGAGCCGCACAGTGCGTGGCGGTGCCGGGGATCGCTGCGCACGGGTGCAGGAATTTGGTGTAAAGTTTGTGAAAGGGTCTGATTGAAAATGAGCTATATAATATAAAGGTCTTTCTGAATGCAATAAGGTCTGCCAGATGTCAAAACCGTCAGTTCTTTCTCTCTGAAATCAAATCATCTTGGTGGATTTTTACAGCTACTGCACAAGATTTGAGACTTTTGACTACAGATTTGAAGTACACGGAAAATTAGCCCTGATAAACTTTGGAGATGAGATAGGTTCCTAAAGTAGTAAATAATGATGAAATGGCAATCGCAAAGACTAATCCACATCACTTGCTAAGCTAGGCTTGTTAAAATGAACTATTTTAATAAGGCCAAATATTAGGTTATACATCTGTGGCATAAACACGCAGACTTTGATTCAGAGAATAGAGCTGCACCTCTGAAAGCAGTGACTACAAAAAGCATCACAGACCATAGCTGACAGGTAAGGCAATCTGCTGGCAGCACAGCTCATCTGCTCCTGGAGCACACACACAGAGATGTACGACTGTGTAGGATCAGCAGAGAAAGAAAAACAGAGCAAGGGCTGGGAATGGAACATAGTTGAAGTGAAAATTTTGAAATATTTGATGTTAAAATAATTTAACAGGAAGGCTGACTACTCAGTCAAACAAGCTACTGTTCAAGAAATGTTGCCTTTATAACCTCTCAAAATTGAGTTTTTATGTTAGATTGCCTTTCCCAAACAGAAATTACTTGGCTCAGTACAGAAGGAAGGTGGTGACATTTAATGATCAATGAGATACAGGCAGTAAGAGCGGCTGATTTAATGTTACCTGACCTTAACTTCTATAAAAAGTCATCTTTGATGTATGTTTGCAATAAATACTGGCAACCTAAGCATATTTCTTGTTCCTTTGTGTTCACTGAAATTTTATTTAATATATTTAGATGATTTGGATCAGCAACCCCGGCTTCTAGGAGAAAGGACCTATATTTCCGTGGAGTTTTTGGAGGCCACAAAGCTCGTAGAGGAAGGTTTTTCTGAAAACTTCCCTAAGCATGAGGAAACCTGGGATTTGTTTGCAGTTTTCACTGCCATCCAGCAGCCCGACAGACAAGCCTCAGAGCAAGGATGAAGGAGCACCAAGATGCTGCTAAGCAGATCTGCTGCTGCTCCCATCCAGAGCAAGGCAGGTTCAGCAGCAAAGTGTTCTGTAACACTTCACAAAAATGTTCTCGAGAACATCACTGCTGTGCCAACAGTAGAGGGGCCAGCCCTGCCTAGTCCCGTGAAGATCTGCTTATGGACCCCACCACCAACTCTCCTCCACCCTAAAAAACATCCACTGACCCCCACCTTTTGCTTCCCTAACCTTTAGCACTTTTCAGTACATCAAAAGACCTTTATCCCAATCACACAGTAACTTAGCTTCTTTAATAGGCTCTGACAAATTATCCTTCAAAGGGCTTTTTGAAAATCCAGATACCCAAAATCCACTGGATTCCCTTTATCCACAGCCCTTCATACTGGCCCCTGAGCAAGGCTGGATGGGCTTCTCCAAGAGGGGCTGGAAACCCTGCGTAGCCCTGACTCCTGTCTATCAAGTCTGTTGTAAACTCGGGAGGCTTTGGGCTCCTGAGGGTTTCCATGTAGACAACACCAGCGAAGCATTTTGCCTCTGCTCAGCACCACATCGCACACCTTCCCCCCGCCTGCTGACACGAGGGGAGCGTGTTCTTCCTCCTCTAACCCTCTGAGCTTTCTGGCAACTGCAAGATGAAGAAAAGATTTCCAAAGATTTCCACCTAAAGCAGATTCACTAAATTGGCTGAGGATGTTTTAGCCCCACTGTTTGTGCTGCAGAGGGGGTCAGGGCCAAGAAACAGTTTTGTAAGCACATCGGTTTTTGGCTTCCACTTATTTTTCAAGCTTTTCAGTAGAGCTGCTCACAGCAGTAACAATAAGTAAAGGAATATGGCTTTTGAGGGATCATCGCTGCCCCTGGGGTTTTGGGTTGAAGCAATGAAAGAGCCCCAGGTCGTTGCTGCCTGAGGTGTCCTGGGGGAAACGAGGGAACAGTCAATAAACAGTTTTTGGATTGTCACACAGGGCAAAACTCCTGGCAACACACATCCGATGGTCTAAAGCATCTGTAACCCACAGACTGCTATTCTTACCGTAACTGTTCACCAGGATCTTACAAAGGTTATTTTCATGTCCAAAGTTAAGCCCTCACCTGTCCTGGGGGGCAGGTGCCAGCCACAGCATCTCCCACACAGCCAAATATCCCCTTCCTGCCCTGCTGTATGGAAGGTAAATGTTAGCAATATGAGTAAATATTACCAATACATGTTCCCCTCTTCCAGGCAGGCTCTGAAAGGCCAAGTCCAGACCTGACTGCAGCATCCAGGCCAGGAGGAGCCCCAGCACCCCGAGGAGAGCAGCACCCTGCCCTGACATCCATGGCTTGGTGAGATCCGGATAGCATCGGTGTGTTGGCTGCGGGTGATGAAGGCTTACACGGAGGAAGGAGCAAGCTGTGGACCGACAGCCTCAGCCCTGAGGTTTGTAGCAGATCACAGTGGACTGTGGCTCTCCAGCCGAGCTGGGGCATCAGCAGGACTCAGTGCCCCCAAACTCTCTGCCCCCAGTGACCACAGCGCACAGACACCAACACGCACACAACAGTTTGGCTACCCAACTTTCGGTAGACCTGCCAGCAATAGCACATATTCTCCCTGAACACCCCGTGGCCCCCTGCAAATGCTTTCTCATCACATTTTCACATGATTTCAGGGTGGGACATGCATTTCCTCTCCAGCTGTCACAGCCCGTGCCATCATGCCTTAGCACAGAGCCACCTTCACCAGCGGCTGAGGAGGTGACACGCCACCTCTCTCTGGTGAAAACACTGATTTTTGGAAGAAAGGGAGGAGGAGCAGCTCAGGGCTCAGACAACGATCTGAAATACAGGCTTTAACGCAGAGGTTTTACACGCTGATGGGTCCAGAGCCAGGGGAAGGGCTCCAGCTGTAATCTGAAATAACAGCATGGTGAAGGAAAACTTTAACGCATTTCTCCCATGAAAACTGATTCATGTCACGTACAATCTCTGCTTTATCACGTGTAAACTGACGAGGGTTTTTTCAATTCCTATTGATTTTTTTTTTCCTGTCATTTAGATGGGGGAGAGACTTTGGAGCCTGCGGATTCCAGCAACCATACCCAGGAAACCAAGCATGCCAAAAGCCAAAAAAGAAGATGATTCAAGCAGAATCACTCCACAGCAGCCTGAAATCTCACACCTAGGCACAGCTCCCAACCTGGAGGAGGCAGGCAGAGAGATAAGGGTGCAGAAAGCACTGACCTAGCAGGAGGAACAAATTTCCATTGTAACAGTGCTGACCCAGCACAGCTGCAGGAATTCAGGTAAAGAGCAGGAGAGGTACTCTGAGAAACATTCACTTATTTTGGGAAATATATAAATAAATATAAATAAATATAAATAAATATAAAGCAAATCCATGACTGCCTGCTGGAGCATGCGTACGGTGCTCTTTCAGAGGATTCTGTAAAGCTCCTGACTGGCTACATTAAAATTGTTGTGTACATTTTTCATAGATCATAAAACGATAGGGAAATACTGCAGTAAGGGGGTGTCTGTCAAACACTGAAGGTAAAAGAGACCGGCGTTCTTACAGAACTAAAATTGCTCTCCTTTTGGTTTTTAAATTTTCAGTGGCAGGCAATTCTGCCACTTTTCAGTTTGCTCATCTATTCTAATGATTAATTACTTACATTCAGTATTAAAAACACACTTCTTATTTTTATTCTGAATTTGTCTAGCTTCAACTTCTGGTCAGTGCCTTTTGGATAAGCTTATCTGCTCAAGCTCCCTGGGATTATTTTTCATTTCCCTAGGACAGATATTTTTAGAAATACCAAATCATTCCTCTGTGTGTTATACTACCATGACTTGAGCTACCTGAGTGTTTGAACATAAGGCTATGCATCCTCCAATATCCACTCCCAGTCCTTTTATCATTTTCATTGACCTTTTTCACCCCCTTGGCCTCCCAGCACCCACCCTGACCGCAGGTCCTGTGTCACTGCCAAGTTTTCTGACCACCGAACAGCAAGGGTGAAGCCTCCTCCTCGCACTCGTATCACAGTAGCCTCCTTGGCTATAAAATTGCCCCGAAAATGCACATTCAGGCAACTACATGCCACAACCTCCAAAATATTTTGGAGTCATTCTTCCCTGCATACCATCCTTTTAATCCTCATCATTCCTCCGAGGGTTTTCTAATTTGCCTACCCAGCCTACCAGCAGGGATTTTGCATTTTTCCTCCTGGCCATTCAAACAACCCTTACCAGCACTGAGGCCAGGTCCCTGCAGAACTCCACGTGAAAGCCCGCCCTGTGCAGCGGTTTCTTTTTCAGTTATATTGAGGCCACCTAGCCAAACATTGCTTTCAATCTGCTGTATGCCTGCTACATCGAGGATTCCTTTCTAAATTATGCAGCGCTCATAGTAAATGCATTATTTCAACAGTATCACTTTATTAATCAAAATTAATCTAATCAAAAACTAGAAGCTGAGCCTGACTACACCGAATTGACAAAAGCCTGTGTGTGCTGACGGGCATGAGTTACCTTCTTATTTACAGATCAACAAAACAGCTTATCTGCTGCTCAGTGATTGTATTCACCATCAAAGTCAAGCTGGTAAACCAAACGTGTCAGAGATTGCCCTGCCTGACTTCACTCAAGAAATAACGTGCGTTTTCCTCCAGCGCTCTGGGAACTTTCCAACTGCTCCAAGACATGGCAACGACCAGCAGCAAGCAGCCAAACTAAGAAATTTTGCTCCTCTTTCGGAATGCAGTTTGGGCTGAAAACGTAGAAGGTGCAATTCCACATCCTTTTGAATTACCTCTGACAGATGGCTGAGACCATCAGCGTATTGCACAATCGCTGCCTTCTCACCAGCCAAACCACCATCTGAAAACTATTTTCCTGTAACTTCAACCATTACGACTGAACAATTTATCATTATTATTTAAATGCAACAACAGGCCAATATCATTCTTACTGGCTTTTATTGTTTATACTAATAATGTATGGCCATTTCTCTTTCCCCTTTGTAATCCTTTTTTTCAAACCCACCTTCTACACAGCAGAACTCCCAGTTTCCATTCTTTGCTCGCAATCTTTGCCTTTTCTCATCCCCTTCAGCTGTATAAATGGTTTTTGCTCCCCTTCCAAGTCTTTTTTGCCTGGGGTCACTTGGCCAAGTATTCTTAAACAGCTCCTAGTTATTAATATTTTTATGTTCACATTATTTACTCAGCTGACATTGATTTCAGCTTTGCAAGACAGACTCTCCTGAAGCACTGCTAGATGCTGCTGTGTACCTCATTTACATGCAACAAACGTAATCAGGTCATGATCACTTACACCTAAATAATGACTCATTGTAGCCCTGAGCAATTCCTCTTTTGAAGTTGAATTCTCTAGGACAGAATCTCCACCAGATATGTCCTTTTTCATGCTTAAAAAGTGTTACCTCTATTTTCAAGAAATTCCAGCTTATATAGAAAACCTCAGAGGTGGTACTCTTAAAAAAAATATATCTATTTTATTTTTATGTTCATTTTAAGTAGAGAATCATTTTGTTTTCCTGTGATTTAGCAGTTGACACAAATTCCACATGCCATCTACTTGCACTGCTCTTACATCAGACCATTCCGGTGCTCTCGCCGTGCCTGAATCAGGCAGCGGTCCCCAGCGCTTGGTCCCTCGGGCATCCCTCCTGTGTTGAAGCTGGCAGCGGGCAGCAGACATCCCCGAGCTGGGACACGGTCCCAGCCCCTGCAGAAGGTGTCATGCAATGTGCCCACACAGCTGCAAGCCCCACACACCCTCCAAGCCCCTGCTGCACCCTCAAGCAGCTTTTTCCATCACCTTTATATACACTAAAAAAATGTAAAAGCATTGCATTGTACACTCCTAATTGTCTCTTGTGAATGCCAATCATTATCAGCTTGGAAGCAGCACAGAAAACTGTGAATGGGTTCGTGATGCTTCATGATCAGGTTTGAGGCCCTGGAGATTGAGAGACCGGTAGCTGAGGAAGAGGTACAAAGTGTTCCCAGGAGGATGCCTAGGGCGAGGAGGTCGACTCCACGCCTCAGGACTGCCTCCACCAAGAAAGACAGAAGAGTTATTGTTGTGGGTGACTCTATCCTTAGGGGGACAGAGGGCCCTATTTGTCGGCCTGACCCTACCCGTAGGGAAGTCTGCTGCCTCCCTGGGGCCAGGGTCAGGGATGTTGCCAGGAAGCTTCTCAACCTGGTACGCCCCTCTGATTATTATCCTCTTCTGATAGTCCAGGCGGGCAGTGATGACATTGAAGACAGAAGCCTGAAGGCAATCAAAAGAGACTTTAGGGGGCTGGGACGGTTAGTGGACGGAGCGGGAGTGCAGGTGGTGTTTTCGTCTATCCCTACGTTGACAGGGAGGGGTACGGAGAGGACAAGGAAAGCCCACCTGTTAAACACGTGGCTCCGGGGCTGGTGCCTACGCAGAAATCTTGGGTTTTTCGACCATGGGGCAGTTTACTCAGCACCTGGCCTGATGGCCGTAGACGGGTCCCTATCCTTTAGGGGAAAAAGGATCCTGGGCCAGGAGCTGGCGGGGCTCATTGATAGGGCTTTAAACTAGGTAAGAAGGGGGATGGGGCTGAAGCAAGGACTGTTGGGGCTGTGCCAGGGGGAGCAATGGCAAGGCCGGATGATAAGGTAAAGGCCCAGCTGAAGTGCATCTACACCAATGCACGCAGCATGGGTAACAAACAGGAGGAGCTGGAAGCCATCGTGCAGTGGGCAGGCTACGACTTGGCTGCCATCACGGAAACGTGGTGGGACCAGTCTCATGACTGGAGTGCTGCGATGCCTGGCTATAAGCTCTTCAGAAGGGACAGGCAGCACAGAAGGGGTGGTGGTGTGGCTCTCTATATTAGAGAGTCTTTCGATGTTGTAGAACTCGAGGCTAGGAATGACAAGGTCGAGTCCCTTTGGGTTAGGATCGGCAGGGACAACAAGGCTAGTGTCCTGGTCGGGGTCTGCTATAGACCGCCGAACCAGGATGAGGAGACGGATGAGGAGTTCTACAGGCAGCTGACAGAAGTTGTGAAATCTTCAGCGCTTGTACTCGTGGGGGACTTCAACTTCCCAGACATATCCTGGAAGCACAACACAGCCCAGAGGAAGCAGTCTAGGAGGTTTCTGGAGAAAGTGGAAGATAGCTTCCTGACGCAGCTGGTTAGTGAACCTACCAGGGGTGGTGCCCTGCTAGACCTTCTCTTCACAAACAGAGAAGGACTGGTGGAGGATGTGATTGTCGGGAACAGTCTTGGGCAGAGTGACCACGAAATGGTGGAGTTCACTATTCTTGGCGAGGCCAGGAAGGGGACCAGTAAAACCACTGTATTGGACTTTCGGAGGGCTGACTTTGGGCTGCTCAGGACACTAGTTGGTGGAGTCCCTTGGGAGGCGGTTCTGAAGGGCAGAGGGGTCCAGGAAGGCTGGGTGCTCTTCAAGAGGGAAATCTTAATGGTGCAGGAGCGGTCTGTTCCCATGCGCCCAAAGATGAGCCAGCGGGGAAGAAGACCAGCCTGGCTCAACAGAGAACTGTGGCTTGAGCTTAGGAGAAAAAAGAGGGTTTATAATCTTTGGAAAAGTGGGCAGGCCACTAGGGAGGACTATAAGGATGTAGCGAGGCTGTGCAGGGACAAAATTAGGAAGGCCAAAGCTCATCTGGAGCTCAATCTGGCTACTGCCGTTAAAGATAACAAAAAACGCTTTTATAAATACATCAACACAAAAAGGAGGACTAGGGAGAATCTCCATCCTTTACTGGATGCAGGGGGAAACTTAGTTACAAGAGATGAGGAAAAGGCGGAGGTGCTCAATGCCTTCTTTGCCTCAGTCTTTAGCGGCAAAACCGGTTGCTCTCTGGATACCCAGTACCCAGAACTGGTGGAAGGGGACGGGGAGCAGGATGTGGCCCTCACCATCCACGAAGAACTGGTTGGTGACCTGCTACGGCACTTGGATGTGCACAAGTCGATGGGGCCGGATGGGATCCACCCAAGGGTACTGAGAGAACTGGCAGAGGAGCTGGCCAAGCCCCTATCCATCATTTATCAGCAGTCCTGGCTATCGGGGGAGGTCCCAGCTGACTGGCGGCTAGCAAACGTGACGCCCATCTACAAGAAGGGCCGGAGGGCTGACCCGGGGAACTACAGGCCGGTCAGTTTGACCTCAGTACCAGGGAAGCTCATGGAGCAGATCCTCTTGGGAGTCATCATGCGGCACTTGAAGGGCAAGCAGGCGATCAGGCCCAGCCAGCATGGGTTTATGAAAGGCAGGTCCTGCTTGACAAACCTGATCTCCTTCTATGACAAAGTGACGCGCTGGGTGGACGAGGGAAAGGCTGTGGATGTGGTCTACCTTGACTTCAGCAAGGCTTTTGACACCGTCTCCCACAGCATTCTCCTCAAGAAACTGGCTGCTCTTGGCTTGGACTGGCGCACGCTTCGTTGGGTTAAAAACTGGCTGGATAGCCAGGCCCAAAGAGTTGTGGTAAATGGAGTCAAATCCAGTTGGAGGCCGGTCACTAGTGGCGTCCCCCAGGGCTCGGTGCTGGGGCCGGTCCTCTTTAACATCTTCATCAATGATCTGGACGACGGCATTGAGTGCACCCTCAGTAAGTTCGCAGATGACACCAAGTTAGGTGCGTGTGTTGATCTGCTCGAGGGTAGGAAGGCTCTGCAGGAGGATCTGGACAGGCTGCACCGATGGGCTGAGGTCAACTGTATGAAATTCAACAAGGCCAAGTGCCGGGTCCTACACCTGGGGCGCAATAACCCCAAGCAGAGCTACAGGCTGGGAGATGAGTGGTTGGAGAGCTGCGTGGCAGAGAAGGACCTGGGAGTGATGGTGGACAGTCGGCTGAATATGAGCCAGCAGTGTGCTCAGGTGGCCAAGAAGGCCAACGGCATCCTGGCTTGTATCAAAAACAGTGTGACCAGCAGGGCTAGGGAGGTGATCGTTCCCCTGTACTCAGCTTTGGTGAGGCCGCACCTCGAGTCCTGTGTTCAGTTTTGGGCCCCTCGCTACAAGAAGGACATCGAGGTACTTGAGTGGGTCCAAAGAAGGGCGACGAAGCTGGTGAGGGGCCTGGAGAACAAGTCCTATGAGGAGCAGCTGAGGGAGCTGGGCTTGTTCAGCCTGGAGAAGAGGAGGCTCAGGGGCGACCTTATCGCTCTCTACAGATACCTTAAAGGAGGCTGTAGTGAGGTGCGGGCTGGCCTGTTCTCCCACGTGCCTGGTGACAGGACGAGGGGGAATGGGCTAAAGTTGCGCCAGGGGAGTTTTAGGTTAGATGTTAGGAAGAACTTCTTTACTGAAAGGGTTGTTAGGCACTGGAACAGGCTGCCCAGGGAGGTGGTGGAGTCACCATCCCTGGAAGTCTTCAAAAGACGTTTAGATGTAGAGCTTAGGGATATGGTTTAGTGGGGACTGTTAGTGTTAGGTTAGAGGTTGGACTTGATGATCTTGAGGTCTCTTCCAACCTAGAGATTCTGTGATTCTGTGATTCTATGATTTGAGAAAATTTTAAGCACTAAATGATTTTCCTATGAGGCTGAGCAGCACCTCACTACAGAAAATCCAGATATAAAGCTAAGCGGCTCAAACTCCACAACACCTCCCAACCAAGGCACGGAGCTCGCTCTGGGACAGCCTTGTCCTTGTCCCCGGGGATCCACCAAGCCCTGCTTTTAGGAGAACACAGAACTGCACAGCTGCAAAATGGACTTTTTTTTTTTTTTAATATGTGATTGCAAGCTCACAGAGAAAATCAGAACAGCAATATTCTGCTACGTCAAATCCAGCTCCACTCACTGCACAGGACTAAATAAAGTATAAAACTTGGGAAGTATTCAGTGATGCAGGAAGGGGAGAAAGCAATCACAGAGCTAAGCAGAAACTGGTAAACGCTGCTTTTTAAGGAGCTTAGCATTGTAACAACTTGTTCACATCATGTTATAGGTCTTCTACGCTTGTTACAGAAGAAAGCCACACGAAAGTTTTACCACACTACGATAAGCTTCACTACTCTCACCTTTCCAGTATTTTTGGCAAGCTAGCCTCCATTGTTTTCTTGCTGACTGTCTCAGCTGTTAAAAGGAGTGTCTGAAACAGCCAAAATCATACAGCATTAAGAAAGGTCGAAGGAGCACATCCTAATACTGAACTTTCAGTGGTTGTAAGACATTCAGACTTGAGTACTTTGCTTTTCCATTCAGATATTGTGACAACAGGGAAACCACTCAAGAAGAATCTAATATTTATGAGAACTAGAAGAGCACTGACTCCACTTACTCTCAGAACTGCAAATTACTGAACACTCATGAAAATGCGAGTCCTCCATTTTACATAAATTAATTCCTGGGCTGCACCAGCAGCGGCGTGGGCAGCATGACAAGGGAAGGGATTGTCCCTGTCCCCCTCTGCTCTGCTCTCATGGGACCCCACCTGGAGCCCTGTGCTCAGCTCTGGGGCCCCCAGCACCAGAAGGACACAGAAGTATTAGAAGGAGTCCAGAGAAGGCCACAGAGATGATCCAGGGGCTGGAGCCACCTCGCCGTGGCAACGCGCGGCCTAGCGCGGGGCGTGGAGCCTGAGGCCCCGATGATTCCCCTGGGGGCCCTGGTGCCAGCACGGTTCCTGACGCTGATGTCCCACCTGGGGGGCCGTGGTGCTGGCACGGTTCCTGACGCTGATGGCCCACCTGGTGGGCCTGGGCACGGTCACAGGGGCGGGGGACACCCACGTCCGCGCCTCGCTGCCCCTCGAGTTCTCGGAGGAGGAGTACGCGCGTGTCAACACCGAGCTGCTGTGCGCCCTGGGGTTGGCTGCGGTGCTGCTGGCCATCGAGTTTGGGGGTTTCTTTACGGGGGTGTCCATGATCCAATGCAAGCAGGAGCTGTTCTCGGTGGGGGCCCACGCAGCGGCCTCCATCACCCTGGGCCTGGCCCTGATGGACGGCTGGGACCTGGGGGGCTTCTGGCTGCTCCTGGGGCTCTGCAGTGCCCCCCCCTGCCATCACCGTGCTGCTGCTGCTCCCGGCCGCGCTGGGCCGCAGGGGGAAGCTGTGGTTTTTTTTCTGGCCATTTGCCGAGGCGATCGGCTCCGGGGCAGACGCGTTCTGCAGCGGAGCGGGGGATCGGGCCAGGCAGGGCTCATTTTCCGGCATCGAGCCTACTTCAGGGAGCCGCCAGGAGCCGGCAGCCCTCGTGAGGGAGGCTGACGAGGCGAAGGCAGAGCCAGCAGCGCCTCATCCCCGGCTGTTCAAAAGCTGCCCCTAGGAAGCGCGACGACCAGGACGGGCAAACAGGGAGTGGCGCGGCAGTTAGCGCGGCAGTTAGTTAGCGCAGGCAGGGCGAGCAGGCAGGGCGGAGAGCAACCCCCGCCCGCACGAACACCTCTTAACGACAGCCGTTAGCTAGGCGATAATGGTCTCCACCAGGCACGGTGCGATCTCCAGGAGGTCGGTACACACCCAGACCGACTGCCTGTTAAAGAATGCAGCGGTTCAGGTCACCGCATGCAGGGAGTGTCAGAGCCTGTTGCTACCATCGGCGGGAGGCAGAGACGCTGCGTGCGTGAGGTGCGAGCAGGTGGATGACCTGATCCGCATGGTGGCGGAGCTCAAGGAGGAGGTGGAGAGGTTGAGGGCCATCAGGGAGTGTGAGCGGGCGATAGACCGGTGGAGTAACTCCCTGCAGGGCATCAAGGAGAGGTACCGGGGTGAGACACCCCAAATGGGGGTGGACCCCCTGCCCTGTCACCGTCGGGCAGAGGGAGGGGATCTGGGAGTTGAGGAGGAGTGGAGACAGGTCCCTGCTCGACATGGCAGGCGATGCCCTCCCCTTCCGCCCCTGCCTTCCCAGGTGCCCTTCTGAAACAGGTTTGAGGCCCTGGAGATTGAGAGACCAGCAACTGAGGAAGAGGTAGAAAGTGTTCCCAGGAGGATGCCTAGGGCGAGGAGGTCGACTCCACGCCTCAGGACTGCCTCCATTAAGAAAGACAGGAGGGTGATTGTTGTGGGAGACTCTATCCTTAGGGGGACAGAGGGCCCTATTTGTCGGCCTGACCCTACCCGTAGGGAAGTCTGCTGCCTCCCTGGGGCCAGGGTCAGGGACGTTGCCAAGAAAGTCAAGCGCCTGGTACGGCCCACTGACTACTACCCGCTACTGGTCTTTCAGGCTGGTAGCGATGAAGTAGTAACTCAGGATATTCTATGATTCTATGATTCCTACAGACAGGCTGAGGGAGTTGGGGTTGTTCAGCCTGGAGAAGAGAAGGCTCTGGGGAGACCTCACAGCGGCCTGTCAGTGCTTAAAGGGGGCTGCAGGAGAGCTGGGGAGGGGCTCTGTGTCAGGGAGTGGGGTCATGGAACATGGGGGAATGGCTTTAAACTAATTAGGGTAGGTTTAGATTATGTATAAGGAGGAAATTCTTTATTGTGAGTGTGGTGAGGCCCTGGTGCAGGCTGCCCCGAGGAGCTGGGGGTGCCCCAGCCCTGGAGGTGCCCAAGGCCAGGCTGGATGGGGCTGGGGCAGGGGACATGCCCATGGCAGGGGGTTGGAACTGGGTGGGTTTTAAGGTCCCTTCCAACCCAAACCATTCAGGGATTCTATCCCTTCCTTTTGCTACTCTTTCCCTGCTCTTCTCTGTAGCACGTGCTTATATTTAGCTAGATGAGAAGACAGACTTTTTTTCTAGACTGTAGGACATTAAAATAGATCTATCTGGATGCTTACTTTACTAAAAATAAAAAGTGCCAGAATTTGATAATTTTCTCCAGTTTTACTTTTCAGGAGAAAACTGGCAAATGAGGGAAGCAGACTGATTTCAAGTTGGTTCAAACCAACACCAGTTCAACGCTGTTTTGTTAAGATCATTCCATCTGTTCGGCAATAAGGTTAGGATGAAAGGCTAGCAGAAAAACACAGCAAGCCTCAAGGTGAGATAAATAAAGTCAATGGTTCCACAGCAAGAAGTTAAAACCCCCTAATATTAACCATAATTAAATATGGCCTCTACCTAACATTGTTTTGTTTTTTTTTATACCTTTTTATCCTACAACAAATGGATCGGACTACTTTATCAATGGGGAGATGTGTAAAAGGTAAGGTCATTTAGTACTTTGCAAATACTAATAAATGTGAGTGGAATATACAGAATACACAGTCAGGCTTTAGTCTAAGTATACCTAAACTTATTCTGTATCAATTTTTAGTTAACGAGATACTATTAACAAAACAGAATGTTTGAAATATATTTTTTTTCAGAGAAACATGCAAACATTTATGGCATTGCAACTTTCTAACACCTGACCTAAGGGCTCTTTCCTGCTAGCCAGTTCCATAGTCAAACACAACCACAGAGACCTTGTTTCATATCGCTGATGAAGTGAAAGGTAGAGTAAAGTGGATACTCACACTATATGTGCAAGATCAAGTGGCTTTTCTGGCTGCTCGGGAAATATAGGACGAGGCGGTTCTCTGCTTGGTACGCAACCAAGCGATTTACTAATTGCATGGCTCAGCTTCTTTGCAGGCGATTTCTGTTTTTGAAAAGAATGACAAAAGTGAGTTGACTGTTACAAAGAGCAGTGTAATATGTGCAATCAGATAACAAAAATGTTAAAAAAAAAAAAAAGCATAGAGTTCGAAACAATTTACATCATAACACACTAAGAAATTAGTAAAGAAACTACACAGATAAGCAAGTTGGTTTTCTCAGTTGGTGTTTTTTTGGTGTTGTAATACTGGAAAATGAAAATAGTTTAACAAAAGTATGTAACATTGAGAAATAAACCAATTGTCTGGTGTTTCTGTGAGGAACCTGACATCCAGCGAAGCAATTTCTTACACTCTCTGATAAGGTCTTCTGAACACAGGTGTTGTATTTTCAGGGGAGGGCAAGGGAAGAAAAAAGGTGGTGCAGAAGCAGGTAAATAACCTGCATGCACAGCCTTACCGATTGTCAGCACCGTGTTCATTTCCAATCTACTAGAATCGACTGAAATTTGGAGCTAAGCCTTCTCCTTCCTGTCCTTTGCTATGTTAACTGTTTTTGAAAGACAACTTCCAATTTTTGGTTCGTTATAGGCAAAGCCAAGGTGAAACGCAGAGAGATGAACAACCAGTTTATTTTCTTTTACAATTCATTTGATGTGTTAACTCACGTCACAAGAGGACCAACTACTCTGGGACCAGCTGAGGAAGACACAGACTGGCAGCAAGTGTTGCCAAACACACCGAAAAATGGCTTGGGTCATGCATTTAAAATGGTAAGTCCAATGTTCACTTAAAAAAATAAGTCTTGGAACATTATTACTTCCACCAAGCTCATCACGATGTGGTGAGGAAGCAGGAGATGCTTTTATCAGAGCTCAGAAGTAACCTGGCAGTACCGTGCTGCAGACCAGGCTCAGTAACAGCCCACGTACATGCAACGCGGTGGCTGACTGCTCCTCCCTGTCACTGCCTGCTGTTCCCCTAAGATGTTCCAAAGTGGAATTTGGACCAGTTCTGAATGCACATGTAAATTACAGTTCAGTTTAACATCAATTTAAATAGGAGGCAAGGCTACCCAGAACAAGAGTAACACCTTACCTTGCAGTTATTATAAGAGAGCAACTAACAATCCCTAACAATGAATTAAACTGATCAGTAATTACCAACCTGGCTTTAGCAATACAAAACAGGCAATAAAGGCTTGTTTGAGCAGAGAACCTACGCGTGAGGAAGTTGTGGATTTACACTTCGTAGTTGATTAGGATGTGTTTTAAGTAAAATAGTAATATCAATCAGAAAACAATGAAAAAGGATAAAAAACTCCTTTCGAATTAGAAGACAAGAGCTGGATGCCTCTGAGATTAGGATATTATATATATTATATATATATAGGATATTATATATTATACTATATCCTAATACATTAGGATACCTGGTTGTTTATTGAAGGTTTATTACCTCTATCAATTATTTTACAATTCACAGTCAATGCTAACCGAGAACTCCAACTCCAAGCTGCCTCTTGGAATTCATGATGGATGCTTTCTTGGAAAAAAAAAAAAAAAATCACTCATGATAACATTGTTCCTTGGAGTACATGTCAGTGAAGACTCAACTGGTAGCTGCAGTGGGCTTCCAGTGCATCTCTCTGCTCACACTGCTTCACAACACATACTCCGGCCTGCTTCTCATACTAAGAAGTTAATTCAGAAATTAACCCAATTATTCAATCTATTGCAGCCTAATTCTTTTCAGATTCTGGAATTTTTATTCACCAGCCCCCAGACCCGATCTGAGAAGCAGCAGGATGCACGCTGAAGGCCACGGAGTGCAAGCCACCCAAAACCTTCAGACACCAGGGGACAGGGGTAATTCAATCGTCCCGATGCGTCTCGCTGCCTCTTGCAGGCAGGCTCTCCCTGTCCAGGCAGTGCCGCACAAATCTCCCGATGTGCACACCAATTCTTATCACCTCTCATCAGGAAGGGCTTCAGCAAGAAGGATGCCGAGATAATTAACTGCTCCAGGTGAAAGTCTCCTGGAGGGAGCTCTGTAAAGCTGCGTTCCGAAGCACTTCAGCTTGCTAATTCACTAAGTAGACACTGCTAAAAAAGACTTGCTAAGAGGGTTTCATGTGTTGAGGAAACCTGGTAGATAGCAATCAACAGATTGCAAATACAGTTGAAGTGCACGGTGCTCTCACCATGGAAGGTACAGATGATCATCAGCCTTTAATTATTTTAAAAGCTGACAAAAAAAAATCACAATCCGATCTTTCTATTATTTCCTACTAAACCCACAGCAAAAATTCAAATTATGCACTATTAATTTTGTTATCAAATAAATGTGATGATACCAAAAGTAAAATTCTGTTTTCTCCTAAATGTCAGCATTCTTCATGTTCAAATTTTCCATGTACATTTACGTCCACATTTGTTCCCCACCTCTCGTCTGCTTCCTACTTCACTCGTTACCGTGTTTATCTTTTGGTTTCTGCAAAGAGCATCCATTATCACAGTGCCTTTTCTGTGACCTCTTCTTCGCAGTATTTTAGGCTATTTTAAAAGCGTTTTTCCATTGTGGTAACAAACACCATGCCCTACTGTGCCAGCCCACCATTTATATTGTCAAACAAACACAATGCTGTCCAGAATGCAGTCATATCGAGCCACCGCCGCAGCTTCACTTTCTGAAAATTACAGAGGGGAGATAATTCCTATTGATCCCAACTTCTGGATAATGCTTCTCAGTGCAGCTGAGAGGGAAAAGAGCACGGCAGGCTGAATGAGCTGAGCGAGCACGCTGCTGCCTGGGCAAGTATGCCTCTCGTGGGTACTTGGCTGCCCTGAAAAATCACACACACACACGCCTCAACTAGCTGACTTCTACTGCAGAAATATCCAATAAAAACTACCTCCCGCATCGCTGTCACCAGTCCTCACCTTCTGTCTGAGGTCTCCCACAGGCATCTTGCACCCTGCAGGGGGGATGCCCTGTTACCCTTCCAACAGCCCTGCAGTACCAGAACCCTCAGCCACCACTGAAAACTTCCCCAAATTACACCACCCACTTGCCCATTGCTATGACCACCACTTATTTATTTATTTATTTTATTTATTTATTTATGTTTACCAACTTCTTCCCCAGCTCTTTACCTTGTTTCTTCTTGGTTTTAATCTCTATTTGTAAATAGCTGAGGGCAAACTATGTTTTATGAATTATCTGCAACTTCCCCATGCATCAGGATCGCAGTCAGCCGGGAATTTGGATATTCTACTACAAAATCACCGGTGATACCTGGGTTTCACACATTCTAGAATCCAATTTACCATCTTAATTTACCCTCAGAGTTAGATGGAAAAACAGTCTGGTGCCTTTGGTTTCTAATGCTTTCAACCACTTAACATTTCCTTCTAGCAGAGAAGTACCCGCAGCCAGCAGCCAACGTCCTGCTCCACGCTCAGCTCCATCCGCACCTCTCCTGGGAGCTGCCAGCACCGCAATCCCTTTTGTTTTGCTTTCTAAATGGGCCCGGCGCATGACTCACCAGGATTTGCACTGCTGTGGGCATTGTCTGTCTGCTGGGAAGTGCAGCTGATGATCCAAAAAAAGGCAGGCACGTCAATGAAATAAGTGCTCTTCATCTGGACAGAACATCTCAGGGCATGAGTCACCTCAGCAACCTTCCTGGCCCCCTGTACTCATGGTTTTGGTTTTCTTCCAAGCTGTTAAGTCATACAGCAACTTTCCTTCCCTTCTAATTGCTGAGGCATCCAAGACATGCTCCTTCTCTGCATCATTCCAAAAGGTTTATGAGAGAAGCTAATGGTTTGATCCCACCAACCTGCCAGAAGTGCTTTGCTGCTTCGAGTGCGGCTGCAAAGAGTAACTGCAACACTTCCTCGTGCAGAATTCCTGCACAACAAATCTTCTTAATTTATTTTTTTTTTCCAAAATTCCTTCCTTAGTAAGCCCTCAGTCTTTTACATCTGTAGACTTATCAGCAGAGGATAGTTACCTTGTTCCCCAAGTCTACCAGTAAATATTTTAAACATTTTTTTCTGCTTCATCATGCACAGAATAATTAATTTTGTTTTAAAAAAATAATAATAATTACAAACAGTTACCATAAATATTTAAGGAATCTATGAAGCTTTTAAACAGTTATAATTCAGTGTCTGGTTAAATGACATCCCAGTGGATCCCCTTTTTGAAATGGTTCAGATTTACATTTTGGGAAAACCCAAAATGTAAATGAACACGTTTGAACGCCTATAGAATTCGCTGTCAGGGGTGGACTACTGAACTATGTACAAATCAGTTACCAGTTCCAGAATTGTTCCTGTAACACCGCTTCCACCACAACTTTCTAGATAATAGATGTTAATAAATTTGCAACTCAAGAAGAAAGCAAGCGCTGGATAGATCAGGTGAATATTACAGAAGTCTTGTTTCTCTAGGCACAGCACTAGCTGGTATGCACGTTTTCTGCACTTACTACAGTGGTAAGTCCAAAACTGCATTCCTCAGTGGTGCTAAATTTATAATTATCAGTCATTAAATACAGTTTGCATGACCAAAATAGCATTTACCTACCAGCAAGCACACCTGGATTCTCCAGCTTCCAGAGAAAGCTCAAAAAAAAAGTTTTAAAACAAACAAACAAAAACCCTACAACTTCCTCAGAGGCTGGAATGCTTGCTCTCTTTTGTAACATACAAGACTGAAGGAAACTCTGCTCTGTGCTGTACACTCCTTAAAAAATTTAAAAAGTTAAAATGCTTTTCCTCTTACCCACTGAACCACTCTGCCCCTGGCACTCACCCTCAGTTAGAACCAAATGCACACCAAACACCCAAGGTTTGGCTATTTGTATCTGATATATCAGTTGAGGACTGTCCCGGATCCCACATTTTTATTTAATAAGCAGTCATGTTCCTGTTCAACTGAGTTATAAATAAAAAAAATGTATGAACAAAACCTAACATACGCAGCAATGCCTGCATAAGTATGCACAAGCCTGTAAGTACGAGTTTTTCTCAGCACTGGAAGTCAGCTACCTGCTCCCTGGGATGCAGAAGGCAGTGTCAGCACATTGCTGCTCTGCGCAGGCTCGGGCACAGCTCTGCAGCAGCTTGCTGCTGCCGGGGATTCAGCTCCATGCCCTGGGAGGTTGAGGAAATGCTGGGAAGGGACCTCCTGTGAAAGCACAGCAAGTGCTGAGCATCGATGTTCTTACCCAGGCTTAGCCACAACTGCCCTGCGTCCTCTGGGTCACCTCGAATGAGATGAGCAGGTTTGAGGCACACACATCAAATGCAAATGGACTGGCCACTTTCTGCTGGGAAAACTGTTATTGATGATAACACTGAAAAAATGTGTTAAATGTGCCAAAGATAGCAAAGTTACCAGTAGATGCAACTGCATGTTTTGAATATTTAAACCCACTGCATCTCTCCTGTGCATTGCCAGATCGTTTTCATTCCACTCTGGGCTGCAGATCCTGTCTTTGTCCACCTGCCTGCTAAAGGCTGCACCCATTAAAAAATAACACTTCCATCATGAAATCAAAAAGCTGGAAAGTATAAAATACACCACCAAAAGTTGTCTTTCTACCGTGTTCTCATTACCTACGTGCCCTTTCTTTATAAATCACGTCCACCTCTACCACAAGGGTCTAGTAAATGACTGTTACAAAGGGCTCAGGAATTTATTTCAGGCAATAAACACTGAATTTGAAACATGGTTAGCAAGATCTCTTGCTTGAAGACAAGGATTCCAAAGGTATGCTTTGGGGTTTTTGCTCTCTCCTCCTCTGCCCCCCAGCACGGGCTGGGTAACCCAAGCCCCCCCGACCCTGCAAGTCCAGCACCGTGTCCCTGCTCGGCTCGTGTCTAGGGGAATGAATAAAAACGTGCTGGAGATGTTTTATGACTTTAAGATAGTCTAAGTGGGAAATTAAATGAATCAGAAATGTAAGAGAGCAATTCTGAGAACAAAATCTTATTAGCAGCTACTTACAGCATTGCTCGCCTGTAGCTTGGCAGATAAAAGGGGCTGTCTTTTGTTCTCCATTCGATTAGTGCCCACCGTAATGCCTTCCCAACGGAAGTCAGATGTTATCACTATAGAAACATCCAAACCTTTGCTTGCTTTATTGATAGCTCTTCCAAAACCACTCAGTGAAGGGTGTTTATAACTAAGAAATACACCGTTATTTATAGGAAGAAGACTGCTTTACTTCAACTATCATTGAAACTACAGCCACCAAACCTTACACCCCGCTGTAAGTTGGCCATTTCAACATTTACCTGGAATTTAGGGATGACAGAGACTACTTATATTTAGCAGCCTAAACAAGATGCAAACAGAATGAACAATGGCCAACTGAACAACTTGATTGCCAGATCTGCTGCACATACATAACTTTAAGTGATCAGTGTTTTGGAAAGTGTTGGAAGTATTCCTCCTCCTCAAAAATGGCCCCAACTAACAGTGTGTTCATTCAGCAAAACACTTCCATTAAACAAACGGTTTCTACTGGAATTTCTGTTTATATGCTATTTAATAATATGCTATTTGATATTTAGCATATCCAAAAATTAAAGTCATTTTAGAGTTTCAGGAAAAAGGACCTCATGAAAATATTTGTTATTAACGCTTATTCTTGGTTTCAGGGCTCCAAAGCTCTGAAAATGTACCACAGAAGTCTGAACTAGATCTTGCTGGACTGAGAACCTACAAAAAATATGTAAATATGTATGTACGTACTTATATGTATTATTGTATCAGCAAACCAGGTAATTCCTTCTGATCTGGTCAGCAGGTCACTCGAAATATCGTTGTTGAGCAAATGCATATATAGATAGGTATGTATTAAAAAAAAAAAAAAAAAGACTGGATTTATATTCTTCAGGCAATGACAGTCTACTAGCAGTTCAGATAAGATGTTCCAGAAGATATAAAGTTCTGGAACCTATGCCATTTTTAAAAAGGACAATATTTAAGTATGAATTTTCCTGTCTTCTCCTTCCAACTACTAACCAGTACTTAGCCCCCTTTTCTAAATTAAACGGTCATGTTATAATGATTCTTGCTCATGGAGATAATTACTAATTATAATCCAACCATCATTTGAACTTCTTTTTGAATAAGTAAAAAAACTCTGGACCTTTGCAACAAAATATATATATATTTTTTAATCTAGAATTGTAATTTATTTCTTCAGATGTGATTAACAAATAGTCCTCTATCTAAATGTTATTTCTCATATGATTTTCTTAAGATTTTTTAGTTAAGAGTTTTTAATGCATATATTTACAATTATCAGGAGAATGACAACAACAGACATCTCTTTTAAAGAAATACTGTGTTTAAAGATGACACTTGGGTAAAGGTCCTTCCTCAGCACAAGATTTGTGCCAATTATTTAGCCTTTCTGGGGAGGAAAGGTATTGCAACCTCTATGTATCATTAAGCTAGAAGAGAGGAAAATTTAATGAAAGTAGGACTGTGATGAAGAGGGGAAGACAACAATGTGTTAGGGCCTTGAAAAGGACTTGTATGCTTTAAACACCACTGAATACAATGATCACCATCTGTAAATGAGTAACATTATTTATAACAGAAATAATGCAATTTACTTACTTATACCCTTTGAGTATTTGAAAACCTTTAAAAGTCCAGCTTCTATTATAAGAACAACTTTAACTTCCAGAATATATTAGTACAGCAGTGGTTATGTCAGCATGACAAATAATAAAATAAAATAAAATAAAATAAAAATAAAATAAAAATAAAAATAAAAATAAAAATAAAAATAAAAATAAAAATAAAAATAAAAATAAAAATAAAAATAAAAATAAAAATAAAAATAAAAATAAAAATAAAAATAAAAATAAAATAAACGTGAATTACCCAAGAGGAATGCTCCTTCATCTGATGCTGGTTGCTGTGAGGACCATTGGCATGGCCACGCCAAAAACAGTTTTGACAGAGCTGGTAGTTGTGGCACTGCTGGCATCGGTACCGGAAACCCATCATGCTCTCACACCGGCAATACGAACATTCCACGGGATGGAAGACTTGGTGGAGATGAGGAAGGAAGGAAAAAAATAAAAAAAAAGAAAAGTAAACCTTAAGAAAATTTCAACCATCAGATTTCACTGGAACTCAAAAAAAACCAAAACACAACACAACACCAAGGTTTTTAATCACTAAACCAATTTCTTATGCTAATCAGGTCATAGATTCTGAGACTAGAGGAGATTATTTTGGCACAATTAACCATAAATCTAAGTTAATGATAATGTATCAGTACCATCTGGTACTTTCAGTATTTCTTCTACAGCTTTCTCCCTCTTTGGATATGCTTAGACCTGGAAAATTCCATGCAAGTTCAACAACATAAAAGAACATGAGCAGAAAGGGAAAGCAAAAAAGTCATATTCACAAAGGTTTATTTCTGTCTGAGGGATCACTTTGCCCTCGAGTCAGCTGAGAGCATTTCCCACACAAAAGGCAAATTCAGGCCACCACAAGCTTCTGCTCCGAATCCCCTCTCACTGAGGAAATTCCCTCGCTCTGCACTGGCTGTGAGCTCCACCTCCTGTACCACCATAGCCTAAGCTGAAGAAATCCCCAACAAACCTCTAAATCCTAACACCTCAAGAACACAAAAGTTAAATTAGGTATGAAATACAGAGTCACCAACACAATCAGACTGAACAAAAAAAGAGAAGAGATGGCTTCTTCCTCCCTGCCCCCTTTTTTTTAATCCACAAACCAATGATCACAGGCTTGTCTTAGGTCAGAATAAATAAAAGAGGAATATAAGAATGACGTAAGGGAGATAACTTAATATGTCAAGCACAACTTTGAAGCTGAGGCACAGAAAACAGAATGGCAGAATGAAGGGGAAGGTGAATCAGAAGCAAGTAGCTCAGCATCGCCACGGGGCAAGAGCGTAAGTAGTTACAGGTGGGTAGAAATAACTGCTCTGGAGAAGATGACAGGAAAAAAGAGCAGCCTGACACTGATCACACTGTGAAAAGAAAACGAGGGGATCATGATAGGCGATTTCGATGATACAAATGTCCCTTGGGAATGGAAGTTCAGGTAGAAGAACTGATGACCATGTTTTTAATCCAAAGGTAGAGAAACCAATGAAAAGGAAGAGCTGTAGATTTATTTCAAACAGTAGAAACACAGCAATTCCCTGAATTTTAGCAAGTGGAGAAGAGAGACCATGACTTCAGTGCAGTAGTTTTCAGAAAATTCATATGAGAATTAGTAGGCACACTACAAGATGAAGAAATTCAATGGGAAAAGTGAGTTAGACTTGTCAGTTCCTTAAAGAAATGATGCTAAAGAAACAAGCATAAATTATCTTTGGACACAGGAAAGAGTAGACTGTAATAAAAGAACAACTTCACTAAAATATGATCTCCTCAATAACCTAAAATTCAAAAGGAAGCCTACAGAAGTGGTAACAGGGACAAATTATTAACGAGGGTTAAAAGAATAATACAAATATTCAGAGACAAAACCAGGAAAAAAAGAATGAGGAAAAATCTAACAAAGGGATTTTAAATGGACATAACAAGAACTGCAATTATCATCCTTAAAAGGAGCTGAAATTATACACATGTAACTGCTGACCTCCCATGTTATCTTAACTTGTAGAATACATACTGGAACAAACACTAAAGCAAATTACTGGAAGCACCTGGAGAACAACAGAGAAATGAGCCATGAACAACACTTGCCACATCAACTTAGTGTCCTTCTATGACAGAGTAATTGACCTTGAAAATAGGAAACAAGCACCAAACGTCATCAATTTCTTATTTTGTTTGAATAATTTACTTACACCATTGGTCTCCCTATTTGCATAACAGAAGGAAAGAGATGAAAGGACTTGAACTGGGATGTGAATTTCACTGGAAAAGACCAGAGAGCAGTTAATTGCCAAAATGGTAAGATCTAACGAGCAGGATTCTAAAGGGCTTTATTCCAGGTCAAGCACTGGCCAATTTTCATAAACATACTGAATGATTGTCAGAAGTGCTCCATTTGGGCCACCACATTTCCATGAAGATGTGGGTTAACTAGATGTACAAGAGAAAGCAATAAAATGGCCTGAACAAGATCTAGGAGACAGCTCAGCTAGGAGCAGGCTGTGAGAAGGCGTCCAGCATGCAAGAGGTACTTACAAAACAGCAACACACTCTCCAGAGCCAGTGGCCAAAACCCAGGTAGTTAAGGGTTTAAACTGCAATCAGAAAAAAATCATGCGAGAATATCAGGAAAAACTTTCTCACCCTAAGACTCTTCAACGCTGATCCCAAACCAGCTTCTGGTCCACACAGGTGGTGAAACTTGGAAGATTTTAAGAAGCAAAAAGGTAAATTTTTCTAAAATGTTTGCATACTTTGGAAAGGGAGATGGATAACGTCACTGGTTCCCAAAGCTGTTTCTGTACTCACTCTGTGCCCATGCCCCAAACCAAAGAATCAAAAACCTGAAACCAGTGTGCTTAAGGAAAGCAGTAATGATGACATAAACACGAGGTAAAGTAACAGCAGTGACAGCAATTATGCGTACTGCGAGAAGCAAGCCCCCAAAAACCATGAGTAAAGAGAAAATTGGAACATCAGATTATTGGATCATGGACAAGGTGCCTGGCCACAGGGATAGAAAGTAAAGAAGTGCACTTTTTGTGTTTTTTTCCTCCTGAAAGTGCCACGCTGTAGCCACGGACAGGAACTAAATAAATGAGGTGGAACTGGATGCTTCTTCCCTGCTGTCCTCCTGCTGCCCTCCCTACTGCCATACGGCATGGCATGACCAGATGTGGATGCTGCTCTCCTTTCCCACCTTTTGTTCATTTCTGAACGCCAATAAAACATGATGCAGCAAACATTATTCCCCTTCTCTCCTGTTCAGATCACTTCCAATGCTTCCATCCGCATAAACCCACCTGCACTGAGGTCGACTGCAAGACCCCACATCCAAACCCATTTTTCCTCTCTCCTTCCTGCCTCTGAAATGCTTGTTCTCATCATAAACTGCTCGTGCTTTCTTTTCTCTGTCTCAGTGAACATTTTTGCTGTTGACACCTTCTCTTATGAAGGTGTGCCTCCACTCCAAGCTCCCTGCCACATATGTGAGTGGGAGCTGTAAGCTTCTTTCCACTCATCGCTGCTTCCAAGACTTCAGTCATTCCCTTTCCTGGTTGCCAATACTCCAGATTCAAACTTCCTACCGGGTTTTTCTTGACAGAGACAACCTGCTCCTTCCCTCCTCCTCCAGCAGACCAGTTCCCCATGGAAAGGGCAGGAAGGACGGGGGAGGCCAGGAGCTCGAGGCAGGATCATGAAACCCAGTTCTTTGTGGCTTTTCCCTTTCCTGATGCCCGATCATGTCTGTGTTCAGCAAGTTTTTGGTTTCCCTCAAAAACTGGGTTTTAGTATCAGTTTTTAGTTTTTAGTATCAGTTTTTTTTTTTTTTAGTATATAGATGTAGTATCAGCACGAAAACTGGGTTTTTCCCTCAAAAAATTGGTTGGTGGCTGGTCTCTGCCTGCAGGACACGTCCTGGGACCCCCGTGCCCCCTGACCCACCCCAGCAGCACCAGCTCTGCTCAGGCTCCTCCACTGCCCCGAAAGAAAGCTCGGCACCAAACTCACCCACCACAGCTGGGTCCTCTCCTCCTTCCAACTCTGCCAGCCTCCAAAATTCTTCTCCTGTAAGCAATCTCTAACCCTCAGCTGCAGCCTATTTTTGCCATCAATATTCAGTCCTGCAATCATCAATCCTCAAGTCGGTATTCAAATCTCTTTTCATTCCCATTTCTTCTCTGATCAGGACATATTAAATTCTTCCAAATTGAAAACTGGAAGAACCCGATGTGACCTTTCTTCTCCTCCTCTTCTTCCCTCCTGTATCTCAGATATTTCTCATTTGCTCTTTTCTACAGATCTCTAATTTATTTGAAGTTCTTCTTGTGCCACCTTGTGAGTTACCTGACGCTCCTAGGAGACATGAGGTTTTTTTTTTTCTCCCTTCTCTTTCTGTGGTCTGTTCCCCTGACACTCCAACATCAAAATACATGCAATATTTAGGTTTCCAGATTCTAAGGACACAAAAATTTGTCCCTATTTCCTTCTCTAACTCCAGGTTCCTTTCATCACTAAGCTTGCTGCATGCACTCCCTGTGATGTCCTCCCCCTGCCCCTCTCATTTCCACAGAGGCCACTCCAGGCAAAATCCCTCTTACTGCTTCCCACCCAAATGGGAGCTGCTACTCCACCACCAATCTTTGAGCTGCAAACCCCAAATCCTTGTCTTGAAATCTCCGTGTATTCACTCCTACCTCTGTGTACTCATCTTTCTTCTGTTTTCATTGCTTACCCCAAAACCAGTCTTTGCTCTTTCTGAACGGTGCCTTTCCCATAGGGACATACAATAAGGGCTTCCAAAATACAATAGTCACGTACATGTTAGATTACTAAAATGAAATAACGAAGAAGTTTCAGAGAGAAAAAGGGGATCCATATTTTGGATATCTTATTTCAAATCACCATAATTTTAAAGACACATGAAACAAGTCCGATAGATGCAGGACTGAAAACTGGTCTGGAACTGGGAAGCACAGCAAAGTTGCCTGCGTACACGAGAGTATTTCCACAGCAAGAAGGGTATCAGGAACAAAATGTAGATAGAAATAAGGAGGAGAAAAGAACAGAGCCTTTATTAAACTGCGTAGGAGTAATTTCCAAAGACTAGCGGTTAAAGGAAAATGAAAATACGACAATTGTAAAATACGAGAAAAAAATCAAAGAGGAGATAATAAAAGTAGAAAGCTAAAGCAGGATGCAGATGAAATAATTCAATATTTTTATATTAAAATGTTTCAGAGAAGACCTGGGAAAACGCGTTGTTCAAAAACTCTGGCTAAGACAGAATTAATGCCTCCACCAGGACTGCCTCCACCAAGAACGAAAGAAGGGTGATTGTTGTGGGTGACTCTGTCCTTAGGGGAACAGAGGGCCCTATTTGTCGGCCTGACCCTACCCGTAGG